AGGAAACTGAAGCAGTGTGACATTGAAAAAATATGAAGTTGTCTTTGGGTGAAAGTAAATGTTTTAAAAACTAAGATCACAATTAATTCTAAAAGCAAGATAATTTTGACATGATAGCAAAGAGAACCCTAGCAATGAACAGTGCAGTTTTTCCTCAAAGAATTATAGTTGAGAAAATATATTCTGTAATGCATGATCCTAGTCACTAGTATGAGTTAGAACATTTCTGCAGTATCAGTACGCAAGGATTTTTGCCAGTGATATGTTTTATTGGACCAAGTACACAGTTGGGATAGACTTAGACAAGCTTTTGAATGCAATGCATCCTTCTTCAGGTCTGAATGTATTGCATTTGAAAGCTTGTCTTAGGTGCTTAGCCATATTCAAATGATCTGGGAGAATTCCCCCAGGTTTGTTTTCCTGGCAGAAAAACTTACCTGGACATGCCTGAATGCCTGAAGAGACATTTGACTGCTGAGCATCTGAAGAAGGGAGGGCTTGTAGTGATGACACTATGCAGCCAGAGCGCCCCTGTATACAAATCTCAGTATGCTTTGCTGGCTCTCAGTCTACAGAGATAGATGGCGGCACTGAACCGGGCAGCCCTGATTGACTGACCTGGACTGCTTAAAGTCAGCCTGTGTGTCCCTGCTTCATAACTTGGGGATTGTGAAGAGGGCATGTTATGTTCCCTGCTCAGTTGGAGCAGTAGAGCCCAGTGAGTGACCATCTCCCTGGGGAAGTAGAGGCAGCAAAGCACCTTCAGTTGTTGGAGAACTGTGCTGTGGCTTCTCTCAGATGAGAATATGAACAGTATTTGCTTTAAGAGGAAGGACTCTCCTGGTTGTTCCCAGGTTAGTTTTCTCCTGGACCAGCCATTTTTGCTCTGGGGAAAAAAATCCTAAACATCTACTGTGTCATGGTTTCTCCTGGGAGTGCAGCAAATGGAATGTCTGTATATGGCCTCAGTCAAGTAATTCCTTGAAAAGCTAAGTGTAGTTACAGATTGTAAATATCAGGGGATAAAATTTTATTCTGTTATTAGAATATATTTCAAAATACCAAATACCAATTTTACTCTCTTCCTTTTTTTTTTACCATTTTTTTCTGCGAAAAAGCTTTGAAACCAACTGTTGCTCCCTGCCAGCAAAAATGTAGAAGGAGCATGAGTCTTGAGAGCAATTACTGTTCAAGTAACTTTGGTAAGAACAATCACGTTTATTTCTTTATCATTAGTGACTTGTGACTGTGTATTTAGACTTAGAGAAATTACAGAGAATTTAGTTGTAAATTGCCATTCATACAAAGGAAATGCTTTCACATCATCCTATCTGCAGGCATCTTACATTAGGAGCTGTGTATTACTTAACGCATTCCTGGAGATGTTCTGAAGTAGAGAGTGAATGTGTGTCAGAAACAAACATACTCTCTCAGTCTAAACATAAATGACTAAACAGAAAGTGAACTGTTGCTACATGAAAGTCTTAATTCAGGTACTATGCTGGCATGCTGTTTTGCTGGAACAGCCTGTATATTTTTATGTTGTACATACTACATTACTCAATTCCATAATTCAGTCTGAAGACATCCAAAATATTTTTTGAAGAATTTAGAAATTGGACATAGAAAAGACGTGAAAGTCTGAGCACTATTTTCCTCCTTCAACTGTAAATCACAGATGATAATTAACGCTTTACTATATTTGGTCATTACTAACATTTGATGACTTTTGCCAGTGATCTCAAGTGCTTCTCTATCATTGCTGTTAAACCTGATTACAACTGCAATGTAATTACCATCTTTTCTGCAAAAGAAAGCCCTCCACAAGGGCCCCACTCTTTCAGTAATCTAGGCAGCTTTGTGCCATTTTGCTAGAGTGCAATAGCCCTCAAACACAACAGATCTGGGCCACAAAATTTCCCATCACAGGCAGATTCTAGTTATCATGGAGTCACTGTACTACTTTTTGATTCACCTCCCTTCCTGGCTGCCAGCCTTAGGCTGTGGCAACTGGTGAAATTAGAAAAGATTTCAGGTTGCTCTAATTTACACCTACTGCAGGCTGGTTTAAGATCAGAGGAAGCCTAGAGTTATCTTTTGTCCTCTCCCGCTACTCCCACTTACTGAGTTGTGCTGAGAACACCTTAATGTTTATCCTGGATATGTAGCACAAGCTTTGGTGGCAATTGAGTAGTAACGCAAATTCAGTGCACATTTCCTTTACCCCCATGAAATAAACGAACAGATCTCAGAGTACACCTGGTTTCTGATGATTAACTGAAGTGTCATTTCTTCTCCAGGATGAAAGTAAAATTATGCACCATGCTTTTCCACTGTCTTGTGTGTTAATTAATGCAAAAGTTTTCTTCTCTGACCTGCATTTTGTAACCACAAAATTTGGCTACTGGTCTTTGAAAGAAAGCTTCCTTTATCATCACTTTTATTGTGATATGTACATTTCCCCATGTTTGTATTAAACATGACCAGAAGAAATATACTTGATGGCAGTTTAATTAAAGGAATACATTATATCAACTCAATTAAAGGAATACATTACATCAATTTATGTAAATATTTATGCAAAATATTGATTATACAGGTGTTTAAAATAATCAAAATGAATATTAATTATTTATTGAATTATCTAAACTTAGTACAGAATCAATCCTTGCTGCAGTGTGAACTGCAAGGCTAGGGACAGAAATTACACATAAACTGGTATAAGCAATTGGAAACCAGTTCAAATCTGTAACACAATAGATGTTCATTGCACATAAACTGCTTTCAAAATGGCTGAAACCGGTTTAAGATAAATCTGGATTGATGTAGTATCAGACTTAACTGATTTAAATTAAATTGGTTTATTGAACTTCTGTCCCAGATCCCCTCCAGATTCAAGTTACCGCATAGTCCCCTCAGCATCCCAGAATTCTTTGCACCCCCCCTGGCAAAAGACCCCTTGCAGGGTAGGTGGGCTAGCCTTGGCCTAAGCTATCTGCTCCAACTGAGCAGGGAGGTGTGTTCTAGTGCTCCCCAGGTTCTGGCCTGGGCCACTGCAGGTATGTGGCTGTATTTCCAGAATCAAATGTGAATGTTGTTCGCTTGCTTATTGGTTCAATCTACAAAGCTTAGACTAACCTGAGGATATTGAATTGATTCAGCATCAGGTTTTTTGACTGTCTGTATTTAACCAAAAATAATTATGTGCGCTATTGATTTGCTTCTTTCTGATGTATAGAGACAGGCTAAGGAGTTCATTTCTGCTTGCTTTTTTATATTAGGAACATTAGGTTACTTTTTCCCTTGCTCCAGGTGTCTTTGGAAGACATACTGGCTGCTTGCAGACATGGGGGAGTGAGGGGGAATGGTGCTTTATTTTAAACTCAGTGTGCTTTTGTGCTATGCCCAGAAGAGGCATCGCATTAGTTGCACCCAGCTTTCCCAACATCTATATAGATTAGGCACTTTAGTGGGGCTTTTTTCTAATTGCTGACTGAATCAGCTTTAGCTAAAAGTGCCAAGAAGCCCCTGTGAAGCGCACAGTCTTTACAGATGCTGCAGAACCAGGTCAAAGCAATGCATGGCTTCTTCCAGTAAAGTGCAGTTTTGTTTTGTTTGTTTTAGTTAACGTCTGTCAGCCATTGATATTGTGTGATGATATTGATATTACATGGTTTAAACTTAAACTGCAGTCTATGGCTGCTGACAGACATGGAAAAAAACCCTGAAAAAACTGCTTTACTGAAATAGGCAGTGCATTAGTACAACCTGGCTCTGCAGCATCTATATAGATCACACATTTCAGTGGAGCTTTTTGGCACCTTTATCTAAATATTCAATCAGCTACTAGATAAAAGTGCCATAAAAGCCCCACCGAAGCCCCAATTTGTACAGACACTGGGCGAGCTGGGTCCACCTAACACAATGCCTGTTCTGGGCACGAGCTGGGTTTGGTGCACTCCAAGTTTAAAATAAAGTGCCATTTTGTTTTGGGGTTTTTTTATGTCTGTAAGCAGACTATGATTAACTGAGGCCACTATAATAAAGAGGCTGATTCTGGAAACTCAAAGTTCCATTTTTCCCCTCACGTGAGAGTACAGGAAACTGTAGTTTCCTTTCTAGCCTAATATGATGTCATTAACCCACCTATTTTTTTTTTAGCCCTCTAAAAAGCACTCTAGTAAAAACATGGATGCCAAAACCTGATATTGCTAATAGGAGAAAAAAATCACCTAGAATAACGTAATAGAACTATAGATGGCCCTAATGTATAAAAGTACTGTTTTTGCTTTTCTGTTCACCTTCTAAGGAAAATATATGTGTTTTGTGCAGTCTATCACCCTCACAATTTAAGCAGGTAGGAAGCAACATAAGTATACCAAAACATGTATTTGAAAATAAATGGGTTTGCTTGTCTGTTTGTTCAGATATACTTTTTACCCACTAGTCCCACTGATGTCAAAGGCATCTGCGGGTATTCAGCACCACTAGAAAAAACAGGTCACGCCTTTATTATATTCGGCATGTGTGTTAATGTTAATAGTACCCCTCCCTTTTCCAAAACTCATCTGCACGTCACTCCCAGAACTTAAGACACTTGAAGTATTGGTAATGCAGGACCCCAGGGCAAGAAAATAATAAATAATAACAACTAAGCATCCTAATTTATTTTTCCTTCTGATTTTAAAGTAATGATTAAACATAAAAACATATGGATATATATGGGTTTATTATGGGGATATAATGGGGGGGAAGGGATTAAGTAACAAAACCAAGAATTGGACTTCCCAGTTGCTAGTGCTTTCTGGGAACAGGCCTATTATCATAAAGTTTACCAGTAGCAAGTTCCTCATTTGACATGCTGGGATTTCTACAATGCTGTAGCCCTCCTTTTGCCTGGATAAGAAAATTATACATAGGCTAACAATAGATTAATTTGTAATACGTAAACCTTGATAGTGTCTCTCCCTTTAAACTCCACATTTGTCTATTTCTGACAAAGATGATACGTTTTCAGACAGAATAATTCTTGTGAGAAGAACAAAATATGACTTAAAGCACTTTGTGGTCTTGTTCGTTTTTTGAAGAGAGAAGAGAAAATGGATCACTCCAACAGTGGCAAATTTTAAATACTGGGCTAATGAAGAAAAAGCAATTTGGTTTTTCTCTAGCAAGTTACAGCTTGTCCTATATGGTGTATTTGTGTTACTTGTACAAAGAATAAGAGTCAAAATCAAATAGAATTCTTCTGTTTTAAATTATTATTGTACATTGGTTCATTTTATCTATTTTTTGTATAATCAAATACCCTGTTCTATTTTAATTTTAAGATACAATGTGCAATTTTATTGCGTACTTTTAGCAAACACTGTACATTCTATTAATTGTATTTTATTGTTCTTTTTTTGTGTTATTTTAGTGAAAGCTGTAACTTTACTACTACTAATAAATATCCTTTTGCATTTAGTAATAACTGGAACTGTAATCACAGCAGTCACACGGGGTGGCAGCTTACATGCAGTAATATCAATCATTAATGTATATAAAGAAGGAAGTTTAGCAATCCAACAGGCTGGCAAGAACCTGAGTGTCAAGATCACTGTTGTTTGTAAACAGTGTCCTTCTATCAGGAGAGGTAAGGCAAAAAAACCCCTACTTATCTCTAAGGGGTACTGATTTGTTGAACTGTTGTGCTAACAAAATTAAATTTAGGCATCGTGTAATATATCAGGATAACCCACTTAAAGAAAAAAGTGAAAGCTAGTCATCGAACACATTGGTTTGCAGTCATTTGGCCTAAATGACTCTGCATCTTTATAGGTAAATAGCTACTTGATTTTAGATCCGATGCTTTATTTCATGTCAGAGGGAAACTTGTTAAATTTAATGCATCTGTGGGGAAGGCAAAACTATTCTTACATTTAATTCATGGAGTTGTTCAGTTTGTGAAGTCTAAAGACCTGGAAATGGGTTTGGTTTGGCAAATGAGATTCAGCTGGATTTGATTTGGGATTTACACATCTGAGAGCCTGTTTTCATATGCAGTTATTTAGAGGGGTGGAAATACAAACAAAGTAAACCCACAAGGGCTATTAATATAATAGCAAGTGACAGACAATAGCTTCATTCAAAATGTGACTTTTTCTCCTCCATAGCTAATCTGCACAAATTTTACATAGTATTTCTCCACCTCCATTACCTTATAGGTAGACTGTTAATTTTATTTTATTTTACTAGCAGGTAACACCATTCTAGCTATACCAGACAATACTGTAGATACCGCATGCCACTCAAGGCAACATCCGATGACCAGTGAGATGTTATAAGAAATGCTAAGATTGTTTCATAGTAGCAAGCAATTAAAACAGGGTAAACTAGCCCTACCTCCTGAGTAAGCAACAGTAAAAAGCAACAATGACACCAACATTGGAACAACAGCAGGGAACCATCAGAATAATTTACCTAGCAATTAAGCAAAACATGGAGGATGCTCTTCTCATGGACCCAGAGGGACAACTTTCCATCTCCAGCTTCCTGTGTGCAAAAATGAAGTTTATTTCCTACCTATGGGGACTTTTTACCATCCATACTTTTCTCAGTCTGATGAAGGGTCTTTGAGCCTGAAAGCTTGCAGAAAAGGATATTTTTTGCAATTTCTCAGTTGGTCTAATAGAAGGTATCATTTTGGAACCAAGAGTTCTAGATTTTTGTATTTATTTTTATCTCAGACCAACACAGCTACCAACTACATCCCTGACAGGATACTACCGGCATTTAAACATGTGGATCCAAAGTAGCTATTGTCAGAGAAAAAAAGAGTGTTGTCAGAAACTAGTTTTTGCTTTTACCTTGTGATACCTGGAATCTGGATGCCTGATTTCCTTGATGTGGCAAACTGTTTCCCTTAGGTAGACTGCTGGCTCCAGATCACACTCTTCTGTTTCTTTCCAAATCCTCTTGAATTACTTAATATACATTAATTTATTATTTAATTCCTAGAAAGCTCCCTCACTTGCTCACTTCCTGCAGTTCCACCCATCTGCCTGGTGCCTTGCAAGCCCCAAACCTTCTGGGGCCATAAAATATTTAAATCCATGTCATAGCTCTACAGCCATGGACTAATCATATGCCAAGATCATCCCCCCAGTAGCCTTGTTAGTATTTTACTTGATTTCCTTTCCATGACCTCCCCACCCAGTTACTTACTAGCATACCTCTCATCAAGTTCTTTTTCGCAGCCCTAGTACACTTGTGACATGGCTTCTGTGATCTTATCATCCAATTCTTACATTGATTTTTCTAGCTTGTTCTTGGCACTTTTCATACTGCCCTGCCTCTTTTAAACCGAAGACATTATCATAGTATTTGCAAATATAAGAACAATGTCATCTGGGTAAGATACATTTGTTTCTAGGAGCAAGTCAAACCAAACAACATAAGTAGACCTCAAATACAGGATACAAGCAGAGGTGGGAGTGCATACCATAGACCTAGTTGTGTACCATATGCTTTGTTGACCTTCACAAACAGCACCTATAAAACAACTGACTTGCTATGTCACATTCTTTTCTCTAGGTTTAAACTACATCATCATGGGCCAGGTGGAAGAAGATGGCAGAGGCAAAGTCCTGCCTAACAGCTTTGTTATGGCTTTCAAGACTAAGAACCAAAAGATTCTGAATACCCTGAAAAATAAGCGGTGTTAAAAAGTAAACTCTGCACTTGTGCTCTGTCATATTTGTGGGAACAATTTGTATACAGTAGAAATCAAAAAGATAGAACTGATCATTACCAATAAGATTCTTGGTCCACTCTTTCTTCCATTCAGCATGCCACTGGCACTGGTTGATGTTGCTTAAAGAAGAACTTAAGAGGAGAACAGTTGCAGCCTGGCCAGCTGATCTGAAATGTACCAAATTCCAAATACTTTAAAGCAGTTATTTTATATACATCTCCAAATTTTTTTTAGAAATGTGTTACATGGCAGTGTAAAATAAGAATTTTAAGTGCAATATTTATAGCAGTTTTCACTTAGCTTTTTCTTTAAAGTTGTTTTATTATATGGGTTCTTGCATCATCATCTGTGCTTAATAAAATTTTAAAATTTAATCAGATACCAAACAGTTTTTGAACATCACTGTGTAAAGTGGGGCATGCTTAGAACAGACAGAAATCCTTCTTTGATCACTTATGTGCTTTTGATGCTGTGGGACTTGCCTAATAAGAGAGGGATCACATTTTCCTTTAGAGGGCTCATTAAAGGCCTGTATCCATTGAAGTCAATGAATCTTTCTACTAATGTCAGTTAAAATTGGATTAATGCTTTGAAGAATTGAAGTGTACTACAATACAATGCTTTTATCTCCTGATGACTACATTCTGAGAGGCAGTTAGCTTTCCCTATATGGGAAAGGGGTAGCGAGTAATACAGTGGCAGTGAACTACACCTGCGAAGTTTGAATTTTGATCGCTACCATGAAAGGAGCACAATAGAGTGCTGCTCAGCCAGACAGCAGCATGTAAGTGGTAGCATATCTGTCTGCCGATTCATGTAGCTTTAAGTGCTACAAAGCACAAGCAATTCATTTTAATTGGACAGCAGTATCATACCCACCCACTATACATAAAGGAAAAGGCCTGAAGTAGGATGGAGGGGCTTGCAATAAAACAGAAGTTACTGCCCTACATTAGTTTTATTCATTATATCTGGTCAAAACCTTATTCCAAAGTTGCAGAGCAGCAATGATGAGCTCAGGGAGGAATGCAGCTCTTACAGACTGATAATAGAGAAGCTGAAGAACTCTGGGGAAGGTAAACATCAAGCTATGCTTATACAATCAAAAATAGTTATGCAAAGGCTCAACTCTGCCAATAGGAAATTGCCCATGGAAGCATCTTAGACTTGAGTGCTTGAGAAGAGACTTTTCTATTGTTAATATTGTTCAGAGGGCCTCTTATACTTTGGCATGCTATGAAGAGACCTCTAAGATAATCAAAATAGAAGTATAACCAAGTAAGATGCAAGTGTTATTAAAACGGCACCAAGTTGAAAATAGTGTTTCTAAATTGATTCTGTTACTAATTGCATTACTGTAGTGCTTGGAAGCATTAACTGGTACTGGAAACCACCGTTCAAAGGGCTCCACAGGCTGGAGCTGACATGTAGGCTTCTGACCCCTGAACTAGACAAAGAATAAAGGAGGAAGGCAAAGTGGAGGTACAGAAGCATAAAGTCACTTGCTGAGCTTAAAGGTGATAGACCCAGCAGTGGAAACATGGGTCTGCTGACTGCTTGTCTTTTGCCCTATTCACCACAACCCAGTTAACCTTTTTTTATTATTATTTGGAAAAAATCTTAGTGGTATCCATTTCTAAATCAGATTTTAATTCTCCATATTAAACCTTGTTTTCAAATACAGGTTTCTATGCAAATAGAGAGAAACACTATATTGGTCCTACTTGGTCTTGTCAAGGACAAAAGACAGATACCTTAGAGACATTTTTGAAGCTGCTTTTGCCAGAAATAAAAGGTAAATCAAAACCCAACATTTTTATTTAGAAAGATGAAGACAGACAACACTCTGATACAGCTTTGGCTATAGCTTCCCCCTGCTTCTGTTACAGTCGTGCATGAATACTTAAAAATACTAGCAAAAGGAAATATTCCTGCATAAGGAGTAAAACAGAAATTAATGTGATCAAGAAAAAAAGAACTTCCTATGACAAAAATACAGCACTTGGGGGGGAGGGAGGGAGGAGGGAAAGATCAAAGAAATCTCAAAAAAATCAATACACCCCAAACAGTCTCAACAGAAGAAATGTTTACTGCTGCCGTGTCTTGGTAGTACAGTAATTTGAATGAAAAAATTATGAATCCTGCATCTAAATAAATTCTAATCAAATGCCTTTTATTCTTCTTGATGTTGATTTTTGAATTTTTTGGGGAACACTTATGCAATTGGAGCCGTGGCAGGTCCTATGAGGTGACAAGAAAAGAAGTCCCTTAGATGTTCATGAGTCATAAGACTAATCGGTCACTAAATTTTAGTAGAGAAAATGCTTACCTTTTTTTTTTTTTTTTTATTGGCAGAAGGAAATAAATAACCCATCTTAAGTCTAATGAGTTATCCATTAGTTAACCGTCTTGTTAATACACCATATATTCAACTTGAAAAGTATCACATAAATAACTCTCATGAAGGCAGATCCAAGTCATGGTTCCCCACACATTTTAGTACAGATACTTGTGCCTAGCAAAAACTGAATGGTTGTGCTTTGGATGAAATCTAAGAATTGGAAATCGGAGACTAAAGTTAATAAAGGAATTAGATGGCTAAAACAGAACTGGAGAGCTTATGTCCAATACAATGATATGTCCATAACCATGGAGGCAATTAAACTATAGTATCCAAGTAACTCTTGGTTTGATTTTTAATCTCCCTGAACAACTGGAATTCTACTTCTGCATGTACTGCCAACTGCTACAGTGTGAACAGTGCCTGTCTCCTGCCTAAGCTCAACCATGGTCCATAAAACCCACTGTCAAATGTCAATCAGGTAGGCACAATCACAGCATACCTAATATGACCCCCAGGACAGGACCCTTCCCAAAATGCAGTTCTGATCAGGGGTTTTTTTGTTGTTTTTTTTTTTAAGGTGGCTGAAAGGGCTAGTGGCAATACTACCTATTTCTATATAATAGCCAAGTGGTTAGAAAACTTACCCATTAAGTCTCCCAGCATGATAGGGTTCAAACCTATGTGACCTATCTGCCAGAATTCCCTAACCACTGCCTGCTCTATAGGTTGGTATAGAGCAGACACTTGCTATGTCTCCAGTTAACATAGTGCCATTGTACACCAAGAATTCAAGATTCATGGGAGAAAAAGTGTGCATGAAAGTGTATGATCAAGAGGTTAAGTGTTCATCTGGGTGGGAGGAGTCAATCTAGGTTCTTTTCCCTGCTCCTAGGGGACCATTTTCTGCTATTTAAATGAATATTGAATATCCCAAATTATTTGCTGCACTATTTCTAGTGGGAGGGATGCAAGTTGTCTCCATCCAGACAAGCTCCCAGCCTGCTGGTTAAGACACTGTCCTGGGAGATGAGAGTTGTTTACTTTAATCCTTCAGACTGAGGAGGAAACTAAACTGAGTTTCCCCACTTCCTGGAAGAATGCTCAAACCAATACATTGCTAATCTCCACTTCTTCCTTTGGCCAAATTTTATGAGAGTAAGCCCTCCTCTATTTCATTCAAAGAGGGAAGGGAAAAGATTCCAAGTTATAGATACAGCTGCATGGAAGTGCCCAAGCTTTGGCGACAGGCAGGCTATAAGACACCCCTGTCCTCCACATTTCCCATGGGCTAGCTGTAGGTAACTCTGCTCAAGCATACAGAGCATGTAGGTTTCTTTGGATCCTATTCTGAAGTACTTAACTCTCCCCATACACTAGATTGCATTCCAGCAGCAAGGGATTATACCAGCTACCTTTCTATTGGGTCTAGCCCCAAGTATCATGATCATGTTGGTACCTTCACTGGAAGTCCCACTAAGGCTATAGCTTGAAAGTAGGACACATGAAAGTGATCTTGGAGCCTTGGATAACTTCACTAACACAGATATAGTCAACACTAGGTGAAAGTATCTCTTGCTTGAGCAAGGCCGGTGGCTGTGACAAAAAATGATATATGACATGAACAGTCACTTACTTCTATATTTTGACTTGTGCCCAAAGAGAAAAGCATGAGGAGCTGAGCCACTCAGAATGATCATGTCTCAGCTACTGTGAACACAAACTTGCATCCTCAAGTAAAACAAAGAGCAAAACCTTATTTTATAGAATTCACTTTATATAAATGAAAATGTAAAAGATGCCTTGATATTAGATGAGGAGAGTTCCATGTTTTGCTAGGCAGATAAAGGAGGTGAGGTAATTATCAGTTTGAAGATGAAGGGAAATAAGGGCAATGGTGCTATATTAACAGATAGGTATACATAGCTCCCAACCAGCTTCTGTAATCCTACATATTTTGTTGTGGTATGCACTGAATTAGAGAAGTTCGTTCAAACTTCGCTATTAATATTTAAAACTACATTTTTCAAATTGCTTTTTATTTGTCCGTTTCCTCTTCTGGAGTGCATGACAACATATACAGCACAAAGTTTTATGTCAGTACATAGTCCAAATATGAGATTCGCTTCCAAATTCAAGAATTGGATTAGACTCTTTACATAGAACAAAGGAGGCTACACCCTTATTCAAATAAAAAAATAATAAAAAACTCATTAGACAATTCAGACTACCATGGCAGTATGACTTCAAGAAGCCTAATATTTAAATCCCTCTTGGAATATGCATAATTCAATAGTACAGAAAATATATCACCTTTGCAAGAAACAATTCTGTAAGAATTCCCTTTGAAGGGATCCCTGACATAAACCTTATCTCTGTCAACCACAGGATTGGTTGTGGTAAAAGATCATTGTAGCAGCCTGCGCCTTCTGGCACTAAAATATACACTTATCAGATATCCAAATTTTTAAAACATTGCTTTCACAATATTTCTGCCAATCAATCCTTTAACTCCTTTAGCTATCATAAATATAATGGTTTTTGTAATTAAAAATACAAGAGCATCACATTTTCTCAATTACAGTTTGTCAACCCGAATTATACATTAGTGTAAAAGATAAACTGTATCCCCCCAGCACAGAAAACCCACAAAGCCCTTGCTTTCCATTGTATGCAAAATCAATGTCACAAATAATTACAAGGTCTAATAATATTCCTGACATGAAACATGTCAAACTTGCCAACAGTTATTTCAGGAATAAAGCAGTATGACAAAACACATTTAATATAGGATGTTTAAAAAAACCACCATTAAAACAGCCTTCTGGAAGCACATCTTCCAACAACAAAGGCATAATGTGCTACTCATTCTTGTTAAAAATTAGATTTTCCCAACCTAGAGAACTGCTCGTAATGCAGATGAAAAGTGGCATGTTTGAATACCAAGTACTACCCCAGATTAACAAACTCATTACAAAATGAAAAATCATTTAAGAAAAAGATTTGTTTGACACGTTTTGCAGAGGATTGGAGTCTTTTAAAATTGATCTGTGGAACTTGGTTTTTAAATCCAAAATTTTAACATTCTCTACCAACCTGCAATTTATAGGAAAGTCTTCAAAATCTTATATTTATTTTGATTTTCTGTTTCATGGCTATTAGCATTCTGTCAATGTCATGTATAAAATCTGGTAGTAGTAGTCTTTTCCAGATTCATGCAGTCTTCAAGTTTATATCGCAATCAATTAGAAAATCATAATTACCAACTTTACTACTTTGACATTTCTATTAAAAATAAACTTGGTGCTTTCTGAAGTATTTTAAAATACCATCTTCTCCCACATCTTAAAAAACAAGCAAAATGAGCACACACACACACACACACGCAAATGCAATATGCATGCCAGCCAGGAAGATCTTAAGCCTACTAGCTATTGTGACAGGTCACAATCCACATATTTCTTTAAAAAAACCCAAACTATATACATATTTTACATACTATGCTTCACACACCATTCACAAAGAATTTCAACAAAATGACTTGACTTTTGCATTAATTTCCAACTCTTAGCTATAGCTTATGCAAACATTTTCAAATGTTGTGTGCACAACAATATTTTTTCTATTTGGTTTAGTGTCAGAATTAAGCCAACATTTTCAGTTGTAGGTGCTTAGTGTTAAACACTTCCCTGTGAAAATGCAGGCTCTAGTTTCTTGGATAAAACATAGCATATTTCGAGGTCCTAAAACCAAGTAGGTCCCTCATTTCATTTCGAAATTTTGATAAATCTTGCCGTAGTTCATTCAAATTTTCCACAGTTGCTTGATCTGTGCTTTGCATCTTCTGCCTCATGGAGGTCAAGTAACGATGGACTAAACAACACATCACCTTTTGGTAATTCTCATCCCTCTTTTGCTTCAAATTTCTCCATTCCTTTAAAAAAACCCAAACATTTACAGGTTAACTAAACAAAAAGGACTTTTTTGAAGCCCAAAGTCTCTGTCCAATTGCCCAGAAGGTCAAAAGCACAAAAATAAACTGTCAAGTTGCAGACATTAATTCCTAACTCACATGCATAGGAGATACAGCACATGCAGAAAGTTAAGGCACCCAACTGAACCAGGAGAGTCAAAGACATTTTGGTTTCTAACTTAAGCAATCTGGCTTTGAGTCAATCACAGGGGTGTATAGTGTATTTCAACCATTTTTAATATTTCTTTACTTAAGTGTACATTCTGCACAGACTTTCAGTTGGGTTTACTTGCAACTATTTTTGGTTGCAAGAAGGAGATGTAGAAATCAGTAGATATAATTACAGGGTACATTAAATATGTTTATTTAAACTAAAACCAAAAAAAGAGACAGTATTCCCTTTTTTGGTAATTTATTTTGACAGGTCATGTGACATGTTTAAAATTAGTGACTCCTAAGCATATTTTAGCTGTAGCATATTCTATATTATTATTACATACTTGCTAAAAGTTCTACAGTTTTTTCTATCATGTGCCAGGGCTAGTTGTTATTTTTGAAAGACTAGAAAATTAGGCCAGTTTTAATTAAAAACTCAAATAAAACCATTCTGTTCCTGTAATGAACCAACATTAATATTTGGGGTCTGTCTAAGACTAGTGACACAGTATTATTGTGATTTACTCTGGCAGCATCCACCATATGACACTGTCCAGAAAATAAGCTACTATCCATATTCCTAGGTTCATTTTAAAGAGCATTTTTCTGGTTGTGAAAAGTTCACCAAACATTCTAGATCATGTTTTACCTTCAGACTATTCTGACGTTTTACTTTGCCACTTGACGTATGAGAGCAGATCCATTTACTGAGGCTGTTAAAGAGATAGCAGATGGTCTTGGGCGAAGGAATGACATTGAAAGGTGGAGGCAGTGTGCATTTGTCATCAAAGTAACTAAGCCAAAGTTTGGCACGAGCGAATTTCCACTCTTTATCTTCATGATTCTACAATATAAGAAATGTTGATAGAGATCAGGTAACACAAAAGGAAATGCTGCACAAAATGTATATAGAATGTTTGGAGAATTTATATTTTAACACTAAGAGGCTAAGATTTTCCACTATCTTAAACACCATCATAGAATGAATGGTATTATTTATAGCACCAATATGTGCTATAGTATAAAAATAAAAGTCAACTACTCTGTTGTATAATTCACACATTAAATGGACTTTAAAGGAGGTATCTATACAAAAGCTGCAATATACTGACAAAAATTGGTTCTAGACCGACTGGCTGACTACATTTTTCAAATCTTTGATTCCCCCAAGGCCTGGATCTCAGAAAATGTTAATTTATAACTAAGAATCATTTTGTCCAATATCTGCCTGACAGGCCACAAATCTCATAAATACATATTATATACGTCCAAGCTCAATTATACTCGTCACATAACAAACAATATTACAAAATTTTGCCAGTATAGTTACTGCAGCTAGTGTGCCTTTTTACGCACCACTGCCAACATAGCTATGGCAGCAGACTCTGTATGCTAAGAAGTACTTTCTCCAGCAGAGTTTCTATAGGGGAGGGACTGCAGCAAAGCTGGCCAAAACCTCCATTCTGCTGGTATATACAACACCTTCATTAGGGGGCTCTGCCACCATATCACTATAGCTATGTTAGCAGCTAACAGCCTCATAACAGACAAGCCCAAGAACATTGCTGACATACAAAACAACAACAACTCAATGTCACTTACTGCTATAAGCTGAAAACTTTTATGAAGCATTGCCACTAGAAGCTTGGTAAGGACAATCACAACCACTACGTTGTAGGTCCCAACAATTACAGCCCCCACAAAAGATTGCAACTCTTCACCATAGCTAAATCTAGTGACAAAGATTGCTACATGTGCTAGAGAGAATATGTACCAGAACAGAGCGAAGCAGGTGCCAATAAACCTAAAAAATAAAACAGCCTTTGATTAGGATGCACACAAAAAATTAGTATACATTTTAGTATTAGTATATATTTTATACTATAGCACATATGTAAAAGCAATTAGCATGTGAGTTACATTATTCCATTTGAGATGCCAATCCTACTCCATTACTACCATATTTTCTTGAATATTACATGCCCCCAAATAAAACATGCATTTTGTTTTTGGAAAGCAGAAAGTATAAAAAGAAAGATTTTTCCTTGAGTTATGGCTGTATGGCTGACTGTGTGGTAAGGTAAGTCTTTCTAGAAACAGCATCTCTAGGAATTATACCATTCCAGAAAACAGTCTACGTCAAGCAGCAGAGAGCCTGGGTCAGGCAGTCTGGTGTGGCAAAGCAGCAACAAGACCAGGCCCCAGACCCTTGCAGGGACACTACCAAGACTGTTACCTATTTACTGCAAATAGTTCTTTATGTGAAATTCCTGTAAATAATAACGTTCTACATCACAAACAATAAGCCTCATCAAGCTACTACAGACTGCAGGAAACAGCTCACTCGTCCTTAATCAGCTCAGTGACTCTTCAACCAATAGCTACTGCCTCACCAGTGGCTGAGAGAGATTAAACACTGGATTCCACCATTGCTGTTTACAGCCCCAGGGAGAAGTGGTAACCTGTCACAGTGTCTATTAACAATATTCCACCCAGTTTCTATTCTAGCGAAGGAAAAAAAAAAAAAAAAAAAAAAAAAATCAGATTCCCCACTTAAGAAATGCTCCCCAGTTTGAGAGAGCTGCTTTTAGTGAAAAGGATGCATGTGCTACGTGAGTAAATATGGTAGGAACTGGTATCCAGAATGATATGCTGTTAATGCTGAACAGTTCTTTAAACCTTAAGCAATTACAGTGAAGAGAACAGGGCTACCTGTGGACAGGCATGAGGTTCAGTAAGGGTATCACAATTGGCCATCACTGATATTCTAGAGCATGTTTTATTTAAAATCACCACATATAAATCAATAAAAGATACTCCTGGTATCTCAGATACAAAATACCTTTGGTTTAAAAATAAAACAAAACTACCTAACATATATACACAAAACTGTCATGGAATGACAATGGAGTCAAGAAAGGCCCTCAATACCTTTAAATTGGGCAACCTTAAAGGTATAATCTATTATAATCTCATAATCCTATAAGAACAAGCAAGAACAAGATTACTAACAACAAAGAAAGGAACGCTTTTCAGACAACTGAATCCTCTACTCTAGGGCTACAATTAGGAGTGCTATGAAACATGAATTGAGCTGTCTAACTTTGATGGACTTAAGGATTGTTAATGTACCTAATATAGTTTTAAGGCTGGTAATTTTTTTTTTAATATACTACTGAAATCAACTCAGCTGTGCCCAATGTAACAGGAAACACCATATTTGAAGTCATTATAGTTTACTCAAAAGAGAGTCACCAAGTAATTCAACTTGATAAATTTTCATCATCTGCAGATCATTGAGTTGATAAATTTTATAGTATACCTTCAAACCATACTAGTTTAATTTTCATACCATGGTGCTTTGAAGAAGCACAATGAACTTTAAAATCATTAACCACTGAAGTTTTGAGCTTAAAAAGGTACTGTTCAATAAAAATGAATATTTTAGAGTTGATGTAGTTCACCTTGAAGTGTCTGAGATGCACTGTCAGGTCAGTAAGGTAAACTGCACGGTTTTGTGTGAAATTCTCTCATCACTGCTATGTTAACTGGTAAATCTCTACTGGCTCTAGCAGTTGACAGTGTATTAGTATTGACCCATTATTTGCATTTTCACACTGATGTTGACTAACCTGATGCACAGCCTACAGCCTGTGGGTGCCTGGAGCCCCAGGTGGTGTCTCCCTCCCGCCTGCCTTTCCCTAGGCTCCAGCAGCTGCCACTTGGCAAGGAGCCACAGCGGCTCTTCCAGCATGGAAGCATGTGGAACGACATGCCGTGCAGGATCATGCCCAATGCATCCACCTGTGGACAGAGCACCTTCTGCTAGGAGCCAAGGCACTGCGGCAAGCCCTCAGCAGAGCAGGAGGCTTCTGGATGCAGCCAGCAACCGGACTGGTGCCATGCTCCTCCCGCTCAGTTAAGGGCTTGCCTCAGTATCACCGCTCCTAGCAGATGGCACTTAGTCCACAGGTGGATGCCTCAGATGTGATCTTGCATGGCACATCCATCTGCCACACACCCCTAGGATGGGAGAGCCACCACAGGTCCTTGCTAAGTGGCAGCTGCTGGAGCCCAGGGGAGAGGCAGGCAGGTGGAAAGAAGGTGCTGCCTGGGGCTCTGGGCACCCAAGGGCTAGAGGAACCACCTGGGCGCAGCATGACACAGCTGTCTCAGCAGGTGGGAACTCCTGTGGGTGCTATGGGGGTGGGAGTGCCTGGCTCTTTACAGCCCTCCACTGCAGCACCCGATGGCAGCTCTGCCACTGCACTTGCTTCTATTTAAGCCCAGACAGCTCTGCCATGCAATTTTGCCCAGCTCTATTCCCTCAGATAACTGCTATTTACCTCCCTGCTGCAACTGGATCCACGCCACCTCCCAGGCAGGCCCCGCCAAAGCCACTCTGACAGTAGGCAGCACCAAGCCAGGAGGTAAACAGCAAATGGTATACGTTAAAACGATAAAAATATAATTACTATGTAACCTTTTACATTCCTAGCTGCAATAAATTGTTTTATGGCAGCACAAAGCAATGTCGGTTTGCATCCTAAGATAAATACATTTCAGAGTGCAAAGACAGCAATTATTTGTATTGATGTTTATTTAACAGTGTAAAACTTACGAATGAAATGTGTCATTGCTTTGCTGCTCACAGAAGATCCCGGTACAGTCCTTGTCGTTGCTGACAGCAAATCCTTTATCATACAGTTGGGTCAATCCAATTGTGAATGAGAACAAGACAAGAAGGAACATCCCTAAGAATTTTCCAAAATCTTGTAGCATCTGACCCATTGAAATCTGTAAAACATTTATTTCCATTAACAATAAAATACTAAATCACTTTTGTCTGGGTTCCCTCACTCAGTTCTCACTATGGTAAACATGTATTTTGAGCAAGTAAAATTCTATAATTGATATTAGTCAATACCTATTCTGTTAGAATTCAAGATACCATAAGGACTATAAAACCACTGAATTTCCTTGCATCCTGCAAGTTGATTTTGGAAAACTATTTCAGGTATTCTAAAACAAGATAAGGAAAGAATAGGCTTAACTAATAGCAAGTTCATGTCTTCAAGAAAACCTATAATCACTAATTTACATACATCCCTCGTGTTCATGCTTTAAGGTTCATGACAATTTGACTGTAAGTGTAAATAAGCAAGAAACATTAGCCTGAGACGCATCTGAACAATAATGCCAATATAGGAAATCAGTGGAGCATTTAATAGGAACAATGAAGTTACTAAAACTTATAGTATCGTAATTTTATTACTGACAAAGTACTAAACCTGCACCCATTTGTGGAATATATGACTACTTCACTAAAGAAAAAATGTAGATAGTGCACTGTGTAGTACAGACTTACCTTTAGATCTAAATATACGCAGAACAGAAAACTACAACAGTTGATTTAAAACAAAAACAACCAAAAACACCCTATTTCTTTTAAATAGGTGCAAATTTCCAGTATAGACAATTCAATTTCAATTTATTAAGGATTCTGAATAAAAGCCATGCTCCCAAAAAACATAACAGACATGAAACCATAATATAAATTTAAGCAAAAATAACAGAAATACAAATATAACAATAAAATAGAGACAAACATTATAAAAGCATTCTTCCTACTCCTAAAAATTAACGTACTCAAATACAAATACGGTGATAAATCAGATCATAAACCTATAAAATGTTATGCATAGGTCCTTCATAGTAAATAATATAGTGATAAAGTTTAATCGGTCATATCAGCAGTAAAGGATGTTTAGCTCTGATCACTTCAGCCTTATAAGTGAAGGTTGCAAGATGGTTTATTAAATATGGATCTGTTTGCTGGAGAAGCCATATTAATTTCTCTCTATTTGAGAAGTATGTCAATTTCTGCAAGAATGATGAGGCTGATACCTAACAAGACTTTACCTTGATTCAGGACTATGTAATATTTTTTGTGACATATGAACAAAAACATAGCATGAATCTCCCACTACCTTTAAGAGCTACAAACTTACTTTGCCTAATATTTGCAGAACAAGAGGCTTTTAACCTTAGGGAGAAAGTTTTATTTTAAAATGGATTTATAATAAGAAAAATAGTAGCATAACCATAATCCTTAATAAAACCGTCAGGTTTAGGATCTATCATGTTTCCTTAATGTCAATTTCCATCTTTCAACACACACAAAGCAAAATCCTACAGAATAAAACCCCTAAACCCAGATACGGGTATAAGAAAAAAATAAAACAAAAAGCAAACAAAGCAACATTCTTTGAACATCATGTACTATGTAATTAGTGCCCAGATCGGATACCTGTTACTTTCTAAATCAAGTTATACAACACTTTTCAAATGATGATGAACATGAAAGCTGAAAATGTCAGCAAAACTAAAAAACTATTTTTGCTCTCTTGTATTAATAAACTTAAGTCAACAACTTTCTCTTTTGAAAAAGTGATTTATAAATCAACAAGTAAAGTGATTCAGGACTTAAAAATATCTCTGCAACAGCCAAGGGAACACAGTAACTGCTCTTCATTTTCACTGTTGGGATGCCACGCCATGTTTAATTACCACCATTTGAACTCTGTGACCTACTTTCAGAAAATACTGTAAGAGTTGTTGCTCAAACTCTATTGGTCAACAGTAGTAACATAAGCTCCAGTGTGCCACTGAATGAGGGGACTGTTGACTGTTTTTATTTACTTAGAATTTTCACTGCATAGTTTCCTAATAAAAATACATGCAAAAGATACAGTACATAAATAAGTACATATGTTTAACAGTGAATCACTTTAAAATGTTCAAGATATTTGTATTGCAAATTAATGTTTACAGCAACACCAATATTTTAAGAAGTCACTTCAAAGTATGCAAGTGCTTTTCCATTTAAAAAATGCATAAGAAAAAGTGTTAAGTAAATAAAGTAGGTAGTAAAGTAGGAGGTACAGATCCATAGCCGAAGAAGACTGTTTTGGAAAACAACAGAAACAGGCATTTCCAACTAAAATATTTTAAATTGGCTACAAAAATCCATGAACTTTTTTACTTTGAATTTAAAAAAAAAAAAAAAAATTTACTTGAGAAAAAAAAAGATTGGCTGAGCATTAAATTCTTATTAGGTTGTTTCTTTTCCTAGCATAATCCAAAGATTATTATTTCTTTGATGAAAAAGCCTTCTGTTAAAAAGATGTTGTTTAGGTTACAAAGTCTGACTGACTGCTTAATTTTGCCCCTTTTCATCCATCTTGCATACTGAACACAGCTTTGCGCACAACAACAACACAAACTTGAAAACTGTAAAGCATACTGCAAGACAGGACCAAAATGAGGTATTTCCTATTTTTGAAAGCCTGACTTTGCAAACTTTATGTAATTCTTTTAATACAGATTTTAAAAGGAAATAAATTAGCAGTGGGGTCTGACTCTGGAACTGTAACCACTGTAACATGACTGCTAACACTTGAAGGTTATGCTAGTTGCATAAGGATGCTATTATCACAAAGACAAGAGTTAGGGCAGCATTAATGTCAGGAACTACTTCTCTTTCTACCACGTCCCAAGAGTCAGGTAAGTGCCTACCTTAAGTGTTGCTCTTAGAAGGGAAAATAAACTGCTGGGACTATGTGCTAGGTTGAGTAAAGGCCAGGAAAGGTGCCTGTGAAGCTTAGCTTTGTTTGGCCTTGCCTCCTGTTTTAGAAATTGAGGGAGCTCCAGCTCCATGGGGTGCCCTAAGGGAATGGGAGGAGTAAAGAAGAGATCAAGGCCATGTGTTTGGACAGACCCAGTCCAGCTCTTCTTCCTGCCCCACATTACAGTTGCACTGGCAGCTCCCAGTATTTCCAATGCAGTGTTAGCTACTGTTGCTTTAGCAGAAGCTGAACCTGGTAGTTTGGAACATTTTGTGTTCAGTTATTATTTTGGCACACTGCCAATATTTCCATGAAGACTACAAGTCAGAGAGGGGAAAGATTTATTTGATACCATCCACTCTTACTTCCAGATAATCTGTGCATTCACATTTCCTGGAGATGCCAAGCCATGTAGAGGGCCGTGATACCCTACATCTAATGTTGGCAGAGGAACACTTCCAACTTCAAGCCCCAAAAAGACATCTCCCCATACAGAGAGGGCTCACCTCCTGATCACCTTGGTTTATACGTCAGTAGTTTTTAATATTTACAAACAAAGTGGGGCTCCTTTATGTAAAGCAGCAGTGTCCAACTCATCCAGTCCCATGCCTGGCTGAGTGGCAAGGAGCCAATCCAATGGCAGATAACATAGCCCCATGCTCATCTGACCTGCAAGCTGGAATTGGTTGATGACAGTGTTAATTGCTGCAGCTCCGAGAACAGCAGCTGCCACTCTTCCCATTGTCAAAATTCCCAGCCCTGCAGGCTGGATGATGACACAGCTCTGAGCTGCAGATCCAGCCCACAGAGTCCTTTTGGAAATCTGGCAGCTTGGCAAACAGTGACAGCATCTTTTGCTGCAGCTTCTGGAGGCTCTAGGGTTGAATGGAATCTAGACACCCTCATGAAGCTGGATTTCTTCCTCAGGACTGTAAAAGACTGCACATGTAAGAAAGCAGTTGTAATGAGATTCTACTGAAAGCTAGTATTTAGGTGCCAATCTTTCAATTAAGGAGAAATAAATATAGTATCGTGCCTGAGATATATGGCAACTGCTAAGAAGCTTTGTGAAGACTGGACAGTCCAAACAGAGAGATACAAAATAGAAAGGATTTTTCTTTCTGCAAAACCTGAGGAAGATATAAAGGGATTACTGGCTGTTTTTATGACCTGCTAATTCAATACAAAATATTCAAAACAATGGCTTTTTGCAGAACCAGTGTGCATAATCTTATTACACTTACAGCTTCAGGAGGACTTGTAAGGTTACAAACGTAAAGTTTACAGTTTATTCTTCAGTGTGACATGACTCCTCCACCAGCTCGGCCTTTTTTATGGAGTAAGCTCCTTGAGATCAAGACTGTCATCTACTATATATCTCTACAGTGCCTTACACAATGGAGTCCAACTCAATTATGGAACACAACTGCAATATAATATGTTCAACAGCCACTGTCAACATTTATCTAAAGACAAATAAATAGCCAAGTGATCTATAGATATATCTATACAATAATATCTATATCTATAGATATATTGATATTTGGGAAAAAATAAAGTCAGTCAGTTACACGCAAATCAACTGATCCTGTATCCTCCACTCTACCTTTTCTTTTAAATCAGTATATTTTATGTTTTAATAGCAGTAAATTCAACCAACTATTAAGATGACATCAATTACATATCCAATCCCCTCTCTTTTAACCTACTGAATAAAACTTTTGTAATCCAAAAACTAAGATCAGGTTCTCACAGGCTGTGAGACTGTTTACCTGCAGTGGCCCTAGGATAGAGCTGGTGGTATACATGAAGAAGAGTCGAAGGTAACTGAGAACGTTAGCAAAAGCAAAGAGACCTTCTGCCACAAGTGTAGGATGGAATGCGTCCCACTTTATCCTCTCACCAAATCCATGGAACTAGTTAAAAAAGAAAAAAAGGTGAAGTGACTTACATTATAGCCAAGGTAAAAACAGGTTTTATCACCAGTATGACTCATAGGTCTGAGTCTGCAGTAAGCAAGGATTTTGTCTTTAGACAATATGTTCAATGTAGGTAAAAAGATTTTAAATGGAAAAAACATTGACAATGGTTTGAAAACAGCACTGGACTTGGAGTCAGGTGACCTAAGTTCTATTCCAGCCTCTACCACTTCATCTCCCTAAAGCTCCATATCCCCTCCTACTCTATCCACTGTAAAGGCTCTTTGAAACAGGCTGTTTTTCATTATATGTTAGATATTGCACAATGGGCCCCACTATAGACACAACTGTAATACCAACAAAAATAAAACTGAAACTACTGCAAAACACCTAACAAAGCAAATTAAGCAGTAGTGACAGACTTGCAGGTATGAACTCACTTGCAAAGGAAGAGTGATATAGGAATCAGGGGGGTCCGCCGGATGATTGATACCTTGAGACTACATGCATTTCAAACACCTAGCATTAATCAGATCTCAGAGGTTACAACTGCAAAGTCACAAACCAAAGGGAGGAAAGGAGTGCTGTACAAGTATTTTTAGTATCTCTTATTTAAAGATGCTGTGGTATGGCTAATCTGAAGTTCCCTAATTGCTAGCAACCAAGCCCAAGATCGCCCTATAGTATGAAATGAAGGAATAAACTAGTGATCAAACAGCTGCCCCACAGATTTCTTTACGCTCTGTTTCTTTCTGTCCAAGATGCAGAGAGCGCTTTAATAAGCTTTTATGCCTTAAGAAGGAATTTTACCAGGGGAGATGCAAGCCTATTTAATGGCCAATCTGATCCATCTGAAAAGCTGCTTTTATGAATGTCAGCACAGTTAATTGTACATGGGCTTACCTTCAGTCCTAAATTCTTGCTAGGTAATACTTAAAATGTATCCTAAAGATACCGAGGGCAGGAAACAGTTTTATGAGCGAATCAGATTTGGAAGATAGGGATGCAACTGCCAAACACTGCATGAGCCCAAAGCAATTTCTGGTGCCAGCACTATTGAGCCTAGTATCCCTTATGCTCACCAGCTTTGGGAAATAAAAAAGAACCAAAATTGCAATCACCAACTCTGAAATGAAGGAAAAAAAATATTATTATCCAAGCTGAATAAGGGGTATCAAATTCCACTTTAATTAGTACTAAATTAAGCTTCTGGCCCATAGATAATAACTACTCCTCTTAATGCACAGCAAAATTTCCAACGATAGGTTGCTAGGAATTTTTAGGGTAGAATACCTCCTTAAACCCCATAACTAAGTTTTTAGTTATTCTTTCCAATGGGAACAGTGTGGGAAAATGTTGAAGTGGAAGACCTTTATTTCCACCTTCATTTCTCATTTATTTTTTGCCATGCTTCAAGATGATTTTATTTGAATACAAAAAATTCTCATTCTACTTCCAGACCATCCTCAACCTAAGAAGGAGTGATTATTAGACAAGTCACATAATTCAACAAGGTTGAAAAGTTGCCCAGTTATCATATGCTGAAATACATGTTAGGGTTACAGAAATACATCATTATTTAGAGAACAAGAAAGTGACAGTTGTACTTATTAAAAAAAACAACAAACCTGGCATTCTGACTGAATGAAATTTTACTACTTTTTGCAGCTTTCGGACTATGGTCTTAATGTACGAATAAAGAAGGCCTCAGAAGAGGATAAAGGTAGTGAGCATTATAAACCAAGGCTTTATACCTTTACAGCTTTTTCTCCTCCAGTAAGATTAAAAAGAATTATTATGGAGAAACAAAAATAAATGTAAGAGCTAAACATAGGATCTTATGTTCCAAAGTCTAAACAGACCATGACAAATCTGTAGAACTGTGGTTTTCTTCTCATTTGCAATAATAATCAAACAGCAGGAGGCTAAGATTAGTTGAAGATTTTATCCAACTTGCTGGGCGGATACAAGAACTGTTGAGTACTTCATTAGTACGATAAATCCAGTAGGAAGAGGAGGGTTTCCTGAGGGAGATGAAAAGGGAGGCTAAAACTAATGCCCTCTTTCAAAACAACTGGTGCATGTGAAGTCTGTGATGTCAGCTGTCTGATGCAGAGAACCATTCCCCCTCTTGGCACTAATCTTGTTGCTTCCCTTATCCATACTGTGAGGTCAGCTTTCCCAAGCTGCAAAAGAGATATAAAGTCTGGAATATATGATGGGGCGATATGATTCACATTATGTTGGTCTTACTATCACTCTGCCAGTTTCTAGACTGAGTTGCTTACTAATTCTACAGCCAATTTTAAACAGTCTAAATCATAATCACCCTTCAACTACTCTGAGATCTGAACTGGACTGGAAAAGTACTGATATGCTGTTAAACATCAGTAATGCAAAGAGAGCTAAGTTTGTGGAACTGCCTTAGGCTACATGGATGTTTACTAGGGATGCGCAAAATGGGCTGTATTCGATTTGGATTCGGCCCGAATCGGTGACAGTGATATGACTTGTTGATTCGGATCACTGTCCCGAATCGATTTGGCTGAATTTGAACCTGAAGATTCGACACCAATTCGGAGAATCAGCGATTCAGCCATAGAAGCAACTTTAAATGTTTTTTCTACATACCTTGAGGTCCCAGACTTGGCTGGTGAATGCTGCAATGCTGGGGCAGATGGAACATCCCACAGGAGCGCGGGGGTGGGGCCCCTGCATGCTTGGCAGCGAACCAGGAACTGGACCGGAAGTACTTCTGGCCACTTGCGGGTCTGCCGGGAAACGTGCGGGGGGGGGCCCCCCCTACATCCCATCCGGCTTGGCGATCAGCCATGGGGGGACCCCAGGTGTCCACCCAGACCCAGGAGGTACCAGGCGCTGAACTGGGGAGCAAACGGGGGGACCCCCCATGCACTTCCCGGAAGTGGACCAGAAGTGATTCTGGTCCACTTCCGGGTCCATTGCTGAACACACTAGGATCAACCCCCCCCCCCAGTGCTCCCATGGAACACTCCATCATCTCAGTATTCACGAGCCGCCTGGTACCTTGAGGTACGTAGAAAAAAATTTTTAAGCTGTGTCTATGTCCAAATCATCGAATCTTTCTGAATCTCTCTGAATTGATTTGGAGGGTTTCCATTTGATTTGGAGAGATTAAAAGGTCTCCTGATTCGATTCAGATTTGGAGATTCGGCCACCAAATTGGGTCGAATCAAATCAGCGACTGAAGCTTCGCACAGTCCTAATGTCTACAAAGTCCAGTCCTGGAATGAGCCCAACAAAGCTGCAGGGATGCCCTGCGGACTCATTCTAGCTCAGGAGAGACAAAAGCCCAGGAATTGGACAGTGGTGCATGGTCTCAAGTAGCTGCTAGGGCAGCCTCAGCAGGAGCAACTGGGTAAAGCAAGTTTCTTTGTGG